CTATAATCCTTCACCCATGAACTGTCTGTGCTAGCGGTATACGCGAAAAAAAAACCAGTCCCCGCTTTCAATCAGGTAGGCGTTCAGCTTTTTTGCTACTCTAATAATATAAAAAAGAAAATAGTCCAAGCATTGGAAATTATGGTAAAATAATCATCATCATCACAGCAACTTAAAATAATAATTGAAGCCTTATCTACGTAGGTCGTCTAAAGCAATTTGCGCCATCAGCGATCCGAGTTACTAACCGGTAATTTAGATGTGAAATAACTAGATTGATTACTGATACACTATGCAAAGAATTTGTAATTTAAATTATACTGATGGTACGATTATACGTAGCAATCATATTTTTTATCTTATATATGTTGTGTCACAATGTTAGCTACCATACTCCTCCGAAACGGCTTGACCGATTTTTATGAAATTTTATATGCATATTCAGTAGGTCTGAGAATCGGCTACTATTTATTTTATACCCATAAGTGATGAGGGTTGTCCTTTACATTTACTTTTTATTTTTTGAACAATTGTTTAATAATGTAGCATTAAACAATACATACAGCCCTAAATTTTGACCCATATGGGATCAACCCCTATTTTTTAATAGCGATTTTAATTTATATGGCAATACAACGTTTGTCGGGATTGAAAGAAGAAGATTCTTCACCGTGAAATCACGCATTGTGATGATGCATTCATCCTCATATCATAATATCGTCATACCATATTTTGCAATAATTTTTTTACCTATTTTCCTCCTAAAAACGAAGTAGATAAAATCCCCATAAATTCGGAACGAAACAATAAAACGAAAACAAAAGCAATTATAAAGGTTTAATGCGCACAATTGGAATATCGATGGCTCGGCTCCACTTTTACCTCTGTCCGGGCAATCTGCTGACCCAGTTACCTAGTGGGCCCACATAATACCCCGTAACAATCGTGTCAACAAATCTCTGTTTATTTACTCGATGCGCCGCGCCACACCTGCCGCATTTTATACAGAAACGAGTTGTTTACGTTTTTCCTAAACAGCTCATTGGATTATTTCATGGTTCCCTAATAAAAACATCTTTGAAATTTTATTCCTGTTTGTAAATCATTTCGCGCCTATATTTATTTTTTAATGTTGTACTAAAATAGTATGGAATTTGAGTTATTTGGATATTCACTTATTTAGATTTTACTTAATTTATGTTAACTGTTAGTTACAGAAATAGTACATGTTTAAACTGATATATTATTACTTTTTTGTCTCCATTACATATATCTTATAGAATCAAATTAAATATGGCATTTATAGCACATAACATATCTTATAGTGATATATTATTATTATTAACATATCTCTATTAGATCTCTTCCTATATAACAATAAAAATCGTAGAACGTTGTATTTCTCATGGAGTATTTTGACAAGTAAATTTTTACAAACAGTTCTTGTAATTCCTGTTTGGAAACAGATTAAGAAACCAGAAATAAAACGTCGGTATATGGTTGACGTCATGACAAGACGGTTGGCTTCGTTCAGGGTTGAATCTACTCATTGCTGGAGTTAGGTAAAGTGCAGTGACCTCCCATCTAATGCTAATATCAGCTGTTAAACTGTTTGTACAGGTACAAGGTGTATATTGACGAACTAGTGATATATGGTAGCACAGTAAACGTAGAGAGTAAAAAAAATAATATTAATTTTATTGAACCTACACATACAGGTATTCTCATTTTGCGTTCTCATTAAACAAAAAAAGAACAGTTGGGTTTCTTGTCACTTCTTCTCAATTTAATCTGTATACAGTATTAGATGGTAGGGAAAAAATATAATACAAAATTTACGTTCATAAGCGGCTAAAATGTCCTACATGAATATATTATTTTTGATTTGATTTGATATGGCTATTTTGATTTGAAAAATATACGACATTTTATTTATTACAAACAGTTCTTGTAATTCCTTTTTTTGAACTGCTTTATCAATCGCAAATGAGCCATCATATGAGAGTCCTCTGGAATATCATCGCATGAGTGGTATCGCCGTTACATGATAACGTGATCTCCATAGTGCTTTTCGTGTGTAAAGACGTCGATTATAACTTATTATATCAGCGCCTGCGCATTTACCATTCAAATAAATAAAAATAAAATTATTAGAACCTTAACAAAGATAAATTCGGCCCTTTATTTTGTCTGGAAAATCTATACTATGACTGTCCACGTAGGGGGTTAATGTATAGTTACCCCCTAAAAACCACACAATGTAGGTACTCATTGCTGGTGCCATGAGATTGCGTTAACATTCTACCACAGGACCTGAAGATGAAGGCTAGAATTCCATTAAATTGAGTTATTGAAAAGTTTCTTTAAAATACCAGATTTTTTTATAATCAAAAGGCATTTCATAATCAAAAGGCAAGAAATCTACAACATTTCTACCTTATTTCTAACTTGAATCCATCAACATTAAGTTTTTATGTCCACAAAATGAGAATTATATTTATTCTACATCTATACCCATATGAGATTTACGTTAAGTCACATTTTTATTTTACTATTTTTGGTCAATTTTCTTGTTATTCGAAGTAAAGTAATGTCTTGCAAGTCATAATTGACCGATATTACACTTCGTTTTTGCTGTCAAATCTATCAGCTTATTTACAGTTAACGTGGAAAGTAAAGAAAGTATAGCACAATGCAATGTTGGCGAGCAATTTATAAAAGTGTTTCGGCTCTGTGATCACTGAAGGTTAGTGATGCGCTTCAAGATACGTTTAATACGAAATTCGATTTATTTCATTAAATTGTTATTGTTACACTTGAGAGAGTCATGGCTCAGTGGTAGGTAATGAGTCCGATCTTTCTGTGTCAATTTATATAATATTTCCGACTGAATCTCGGTTATGAAAACATTCACAATTAACGAAAGTAAAGCGAGAGACGGCGCTCAAAAAAATAATTAATAGTGTCTACAAAATATTAGTATACAAGGTCTGTGGTCTGTGGTAATATCAAAATATTGATTAGTATTTACTGAACAATGGTAACTGATAAACTAATTGTACTATTGCAGTAAATAGTATTGTATTGTAGTATTATAGTAGATAAAAAAATAGTTTCCTATATATTTGTTTCCATTTTGTAAATATACCCAAAATGTTATGAGAATAACGAAAAACTGTTGTTTAAAACTAATCTTTGGTTATTTTTCGAGAATAACTCTAATAATTAAGAAGGATTTTATTCAGTTTATGACATGACAATGAGTCATTACTATTAGGTATATTTAATGAAGTCAATCGTATTGGAAACCTCCGAAAACCTCCTCCTTGGTTAAAAGTATGATTTCATTATTAGTAAAATGTAAAAAACTACTGCTGCAAAATGTTTAATTCGGTTGTGAAACTTAGTGTCGCTCGGTAGCATAACTTTATTCACCTATAACTATATATTCTCATAAACTGGAAAAAATAAATAACGACGCATCAATTTACAAGCATATCCTATGGGCGAACGAAATACATATATTTTTATTATACCAAACCCACTGGCCTATGGACAAAGTGCTTCACTACTATAAAATGATCGCAATGCATTGTTCCCGCCAGAGAGAGATGCAGTCGAGCGCACTTTATTATATTTTGTACACAATACATACACACAGGATGCTGTTACGTACAGTAACACGCTAAACATTTCCGCAGCTTTGTATTATAGCGTCTTGGAGGCTTTTAATTATTTTGAAATGTTAATTAATTTATAGAGACACCTTTTGTTACTTCGGGACACATTAAAGGATTTTTATTGTATATATGTTCACGGAAATAGATATTACATTACATGAATATTTTTTTTTTAGAAGATATCTATAGTTTTATCTAAAAGTATTTTAAACACTTATGTTTTATTTCAATTGCTTAAATCTAGTAGAATCAAATAACAAGGTAATTAAAGATTAAATTTCATAATTTATTCGAATACTGATTTCGAAATAGAATATTATAAATAACAACAATTTTAAGTTTAAAAATGTACTGAGTGTAGATATTTCATTAATTCGTATCACATTTAATAGAATCATGGTCTAGTTACAGTTACCAGTTTTTCTCTTGCAACTAAGTACTCAATAAGCTGCAAGTAAGGGAAGTAATTAGAACAGTCACTGACAAAGTATCACAGTTACGCTACACAGAGCCTGTTCTTTATCACTACCATTGTGTGTTACAGCGCCTACTTTGTACTAACTAGCTAATTCGTTCGGTCCAGTACTATATGAAATACTCCATAATATCTGTCAGGTGCATCTTGCGTGGTATGGAATATTATGAGGTCTCAAACAATAGTTCTTTATATCAATTTCATTATACCGTTTCTTTCTAATGGGGATCTTTCAGATAATTGCTCATTGTTTAAATCACGCATTGAACATTCTCCCGCAGTTTCCAATGTCGACAAAAATGCTTTACGTGTTAATCGGATTAGATTCTCGTTAAAAAAACATTCTGAAGCGTAACGTATTAATGGAAAAAATCGAGTAATATCGTTCGTTGTTTGTCTATTGTTATAAATATTGATCTTTTGTTAACTAATAAGGTATACCTACGTAATAATATTATCTATGTCTCACGGCTTTGGCGTCTCACTGATCTTGTCTATATATGAATTTATAAGGGATACGTAATAATATTATTTTCTATGTCTCACGTAATGCAAGGTAATCTGAATAAAGTCAGACGTGATTTATGTGACTGGAACGTAAGGATGATAAACATGACTTGTCTATATATGAATTTAAATTGCAGGTATTGTCCCGAGGATTTGTTAGCATTTAAAAAAATTGTTATAACAACTAAGAAACAACGAGTGTAGAGTATAGAATAAAATTAATATATCTAAAATACCGGAATATTTTTAAATCTGGTGGAAAGTATCCATAAATTATAGGTAGTCATATTTTTTAATAACAAACTTTATTCTAATGTATTTATTTTTCTCTGTTCCAGGATTCACGATGACGTGTCTGTGATACAGTAGCTTTGGGCGTGAGTAGCGCCGGCTTCCAGGATGACGTCAGAGCGAGCGATCCCACATCTTAGGGATATTTTTGGCCTGAACCAACAATACGATGCCAAGAGCTTTGACGATAACGATGACAAAAACAAAAAGAACAAGAAGAAAAAGGAAGACTACCGCTCTTACGCCAACGGAGATGTGAAAACACTGGAAAGACACCTCAGCATGAAGAAAACTATACGAAAAAAAATCATGCGCGATTTACAGCAGGCGTTCGTTGAAGACCCTAACGAGTTTAAGGTCGAAAACACGAGCCCCGAGAAGCTGAAAGCAGAGTTGAGTGCCGAAGCTGTCAAGATCGAGAAGAACGTTCGGAAAAATGATCCGACGTTTCTTGACATGCTCCGAGGAGAGACGAGAGGAGAGGAGGCACGGGAGGAGCAGCCTCCTGCCGAAAAGACTAGTTTCTGGCGGCGTCTCACTATGAAGAATAAAAACAAGAGATAAAGCTATTCTCGTTAGCCGGGAAACACATTACTCCGTTTCGTTCTAAATCCTTTTGTTATCCTCGTCGCGTGTTTCTATATCCATTAGGCTATATGCTTGTATTTCTACTTCATTAATGTTCATAGATTCGGCTACACTACGACTGACATACATTATGTAGCCAATGAATTAATTGCATAATACCATCATACGATATATCTAAACTGGGACCTAGTTATAAGAAACCAACTATAATATACGCACATAATAGGCTTTTGAGACATTTTTCTGTATTTATATATTACCGAAATGCTAGGCTTAATGGTTAAGTTTATAATTTTATTTTTGATGGGAACGGAGTAACGTGTCGTTTAAATCGTCGGCCATTGTTACTTATTAAAATAAAAAGATATCTCGTTCTACATGTGATGTAACGTTAAGTTGACTAAGTTAGTTTAAGTACATAGATACTAGGCTAAGTATTTCGTAAGCAGCATTGTGTAGGCAGACTCGTGGTAATTCCTTGTTGTGACAATTTATTACAATTCAATATACATAATTTTACACATTCATTTGTTCGTTTCATTTTTCATCCATACTAGTATTATAAATTCGAGTGTGTCTGTCTGATGGTTACCTTTGCACGATCAAGGGCTGAACGAAATCTAATAAAATTTTACATGAAAAATATCCCCCTAAAAACTTACATAGGTCAACAATTATCAAAGAAAACAGATGAAATGGCAGGTATCTGCTGGTTATTTCTTATTATTAAAATTAAATTGGCAAAGAGATAGACGCCATCTAGTCCAAAGCTAAGAAAAACTTGTGTTACATGTGCTAGACAACTGATAGGAATAATTAAATACATTTTTTGTATATACATAAATAACACGGATATCATACACCCAGAATAATATGACAAACTACTATATTTATGAATACAAAGTTCTAAATCTTGAGAGGAGTCGTACCCGCGACTATAACTTCCGGTTAGGTGGTGTGTTAAACCGCTAGACCACTACTACCTAATTAATTAGGTACTAATTGCAATTACATTACACGGTCAAAATTAGATTTGCTGTTCATCATTCAGTATATATATCCTTGTATAAATAAATGAAATCTGTGCTGATTGAAACCAGAGATCTTATAGGTTTTACTTACTTACAGTCAGTACACTGGACCCAATTCAACTAATTGTTTACAACTACCTTTCATCGACAAAAAAATCTGTACAGTTTATAAAACTTTGATCCCATTTACCTACATTTTATTTGTGAATTGGACAACCGGGTTCATTCGTTTTTTATAATTTACAAATACTAAGTTTTTTAACAGCAGATTGTAATCTTGAGTGGATTAATTCTAATGTCCTATATAGATAGTTTTTTATTTATTTGGAACGGCAAACATGATGATGGTCAATCAGATGGTAAATGGTGATGTAAACATATATGAATAGCACAACAGATACCACGTTATCTCGTGACGACGTTGATGATTCATGAGTTACCATTCTGGAGGACATTCATGCTTCTGTTTCCTTAATTTCAACTGATGCTTCATTTTAATAAGCAAGCTACAAAGTGGATTTAATCGGTGAGACAGGGGTACATAGACGATTGTCTTTTGCGTAGGAAACTCTATCTCACTTAATATCTTGGAAGACGAAACTATAGCATGTTTAATAAACCGTTGGAATAGATTTCCAAAACAGTAAATTATTTTAAATTTTCCCAGTATTATCGTATATTATATACACGCTATATTTTTTTTAAAAGTATGTAAAATAATAATTTAAACAGATTAAAATAATATTAAAAATAACAAGGTAAAAAGCTAAAAGCAATTTGAATAATAATAATCATAGATAAGAATGTGTGAACAGAACAAGGGTCAAATATTATTACTAGATGGCGCTGTCCACAATTTTTTTCCTTACGAAACGAAACACTGGAACTTAATAGTGATGGCCAAAATACGTTATTACTGTATACCTTGGTGTTGCTGGTATACATAGGTAACAGATGCCACTTGCCATCAGGAAGGCTTTCAACTATTAGCTATAAAGGTAACAAACATTTTAGCGAATTTAATAACCGACGCTCAATTGATAATTATAATTTGGTAGGTTTCTTATGATTTTATGTTAGATTGGATTAGATAAAAAACAGTTGAATATATTATGTGTTTTACTATGTAATATTTTCTTATCTGTGGTTTTTACAAACATAACATGGCAGACACAGAGAAAAGAGCGACATCAAGCGGTACAAGAGTGAACTACAATGTTTTGTTGCCAGTTTCAAAACCCACCGCTCTGCAATATTAGATGACGTTGCTTCAGTATTCCAGTCCAGATTATAAGTCGTCAACGTAGCAGAGTACCTGTTACTTCATTTGCCCGCCAAGCAGCTAGTTTTGTATAATATATTTGGCATAAGGCAGTAATGAAGGGGTTAAGAGACTTGACATTTTAGTCGCAACGCATGAGTAGTCGGAACACAGGCGTCGTATAACGTGATGTTCTTAGTGATGCTATATCACGATGTGAAGTTTATCACTCGCCATCAGATGCTTGTTTGTCATTCCAATTGTATAAAAAATATTCAGCTTCCACGAATAATACTAAACATTGATACCTTGATGACATTATTTCACAGGTGATATGAATACTATTGAATACTACTTCAGTAACGCCATCTCTTGACTAGTAGCAAAGTTCTTTATACTTCATTAAAATTAAAAATAATGTTTAACATAGAAATGATAAATATCAATCAGTAACATAAAAACAGCCTGTTTTTTTCTATTAGCATATTTGCTGTGTTTTTCATAGACTACAGCCTTTTTAACACAAGCTATTACAAACATTTTTTATATTGGTTTATTGAAATCTTTAACAACTGAACTCTACGTAGAAGTAGATTTGTTTCCATTGTTCATTTCAATACAGCATAGAATAAGCATATATTATATACAAAATAAGAGGCATGACATCTTATTCCTCTGGATTGGCAACGCATGAGTAGTAAGGAGGTGTGATGTCCTTAGTGTTGTTTATCTATATAGGCAACAGTTACCGCTTACCATTACGTGGGCCGTCATGCGTCAGCTTGTTTGCCATTCAAAATAAATAAAAGGAATATATAAATATTTAATCTGTAGTATACAGTTAAGAGTCCTCCTCTTCTTGTCAACATGTTGAACACCAGTAATAAAAAAGATCAACCAGATTTTTTTTGAAACTGGGAGGGAATTGGGGGTTGGAATTAGGAATAAAAATGAAACTACGAAATGAAGTTTAAAAATTTGTATTTATAATAAAATATTTTTTAGAGTTTGAAAAGAATTTAAAGTAATAATTTAGTGAACTGTTATAATTTGCATTTTATATTTGATGTCTATTGAAGTTACCACCGGTTCGGAAAAACCACCACTGAGAAGAACCGGCAAGAAACTCAGTAGGGGATGTTTAATTATCATCAGTTACTTTTTTAAATTTCGTTAAGTATCTAAGTATTATATCTAAATAATATAATAATAAACTATAATACAATAATAATCCAGAATGCATCGAACTATATAAATAATAATGTTTAGTAACCTACTTGTTTTTTTAAATATATAAGTATATTTTTAAAACCATTCTAAATAGTCGATATTATTTATACATAATAATGGTAATAATATTTTACAAAAATCAATCTAATGAAATATATACATAAATTAGTCAATATAATTAAATATATAAAATAATTTCTATATATTCTGATTAATCTTTATTAATTCTATTTTTCAGTATTTTCTCTAACTTATAACTGATACTGTTTCCTTAATCACATAATTATACATATTTATATCTATTTCCACTAAAACTAACGACTTGTCTCTGAAATTTATTTAGTCACTTCTCTATTACATTGAATAAATTATAATCTACTTTCAATTTTAATATTAAATAATAACTATAGCTTATTAAATAGCTTATACCCATAACTTAAAAGTACTAATATCTATGTCGATGTCGATTACATTTTCTATATAATTTTTGTATCTAATGCCTAATTCATTCCTAACCTTTATTGTAAACCATTTTCGAAACATTAACTACTTAACTAAAGTTTAAAATTATCTCCTTTAACTAACCAAACCAAGACCATTGACCAAATTAATTTGTTATTGTTAAAGTTAGTGTTAAAGTTTGTTCATGTAATTTGTTATTGTTATATGTATCTATTGTTTTATAACATCAGAAATAGTAATATTCCTATTCACGCTCTGCATGCAGTAGCGATAAAATAGTCACTTTTTATACACGTATTCAATTATTTAAGTTAATCACTTATATTAATATGTAGCTTATACCTACATTTAACTTTCTAAATACTAATATGATAATACTATTGGACCTTCTCAAAAATGATATTTTTTAGATTATATAAACATTTGAATTATTCTTAAAAAAGGAATAAGCTTTCCAGTTATTCTTTTTACAACTATACAATTTAAGATACATCTATCTCTTGGCATACTTATTGCTATAAATGTATTATATAGTTTTTATATCCCTAAACAATGAACCTACTATATACCTACTTATAATAAAAATATATTTTTCAGTAGACTAAAAACTTTTAACTGTTTTAGTAAATGCACAACATACGCATTTTTATAGAGACAAGTCTACCTAATTTCTGGAATATAAAACTATTTCGATATTTCACTTATAACTAATTTTAGGTAAAGCAATTTGAATTCTATATTAGATTTTTCATGATATACAAATGATTAAGAATACCTTATTGACGAATAAAGTTCCTAATTTTAATGATTATAACGTATATTTAGATTAATTATCTGTAGTTTTCTTAAGTTTTTCTCTAACCTGACAAATACTATGTTCAAGATATTTATTATCTAAGATTTTTTTATCTTGGAATATATTTTATGTTTGCTCCATTTATCAATTTGATACTGTTGCTAAAATAAACGACTGAAATTTTTACATTGTACTGAATATATAACTCACATTCTGTTAAATTCATAACGATTTTCGTTTTCGTATATTTATAAGAGATAGGTAAGTCTATTTCATTTTACTGAATGGACAAAGACTGAATCAACTATCTCATTTATACCGTTTCTGTTTCTTAAAACTAATTCTGCGCATATTATATGGATTATACCGATATAAATATTAATTATAGGTTACCTTTTTAAGATTTTAACTAATTTGTGTCGTCCTACAAATTATTAAGAATATCTTATTGACAAATAATGTTCCTAATTTTATTGATTATCATATA